AAAATAATAGAGAAAGTCTGAGAAAAGTTTTGCATTCCTAACATTCTTCAGTAAAGGTGTCATGTCTTAGTCTAGTATAAAATGAAAGCATACAGTAGAACAAATATTTTTAAGGTTTTCATGGAAACCTAAATCCTAATCTTATTGACTTAGTCCACAGCTCAAAACACATGTGCAATAAAAAAAATGAATACTGATAATAAAAAAATATTCTAACTATTTCGTTTTTCTTTCACTTGTATTCTGGGTTATTGACTTTCTGTAAGATGCAGTGCTGACTAATCAGTGTGTCTTCCTTCTTTTTTCTGGAAGCCATATAATACATCCTACCCTGTTTAAGTATCACATGGTATAATAACACAGTTTGTTCTCACACTTTGTTATCTAACACTGTATATTTATAGTAAATTGTAAAGACTTGCTTTACTTTTAGTTCTGGGAGAACAGGAAAGTCACTAGTTTTTTTCTCTAAAAGTTAAAAAAGAAATTGTACTCAATTTTTATTTTTTCAACACAGTGCTTAATTTGTTTACCGCTTTTGTCAAGTACAGTTGGGTAAATAATTATTTGATCTATTTCTGAAATTCTGGGTTTGCTCATTTCTAAAGAAATGAACACTATCTAATTTTTATTGTAGTGTCATTTTAAAAGGAGAGAGATAGAATATCAAGTAAAAATCAAGAAAAACATTTACATAAAAATTACATAAAATGAGTGTTTGAGACAATGTAGCCAGAGTTCTGACACCCACAGTTTCGCTGTGTGCCCATGTTGCATGCAGATTTCAATCAATCAGTTACAGATACTTATGACCGCAACTCATTATGTGTGCAAAGTGCACCTGTCCACAGAATCAGTTTCTTCCATTCCAACATCTCCATCACCCTGAGCAAGGCCAAAGAGCTGTGACAGCACATCGGGGACATTATTTGTAGACCTACACAAGGCTGGAATGAGGAACGAGACCATCACCAAGAAACTTGGTGAGAAGGTGACAACCATTGGTGCAATCATTTGGAAATGGAAGAAATTTAAAATTACCTTCATTCAGCCTTGGTCTTGAGCATCATACAAGATCTTCATTGGGTCCAGATGATCATGACAGAAAGTGGTGGATCCGTCCAAAATTACACAGAAGGAGACTGTTAATCATCTGGAGACAGCTGGGACCACAGTCGACAAGAAATCTTGAGTGGGTCGGACTAGTAAAATTTCTGTTTATATAGTATGAATGGCATAGAACAAATGACAATAAGGGAGGTATTTATCAGTGCAAAAAGGTGTAAAAAAAAAGTATGAAAAGTGCCAAATATATGCCCTCCTGCTGTCTGTGGGCCAGATTAGAGTCTGTGACGGGCCAGTTCTGGCCCCTGTGTCTTGTGTATGACACCCCTGATCTAAATGATTAACAGAAGGCTTGGGAAAAAGTGCTGTGGTCAGCTGACACCAAAAACAAGCTATGTGGCATCAATTCAACCTGCTGTGTTTGGAGGAAGAGAAATACAGAGTATGACCCAAAGAACACCATCCCCACAGTCAAGCATGGAGATGGAATCATTATGCTTTGAGGCTGTTTTTCTGATTAGGGTACAGGGCAACTTCATTGCATGCATCGTGAAATCTTGGCTGAGAATCACCTTCCCTCAATGAGAACACTGAAGATGGGTCCAACACACACTGCCAAGGCAAGAAAGGCTGAAGAGGAATCATATTAAAGCAATGGAGTGGGCTTACCAGTCTCCAAACCTCAAGGATTTAGAGTTAGTCAAAATCCCACTTTAGATGTGTGCAAACCTGGTGACCAACTACAAGAAACGTGTTACCCCTGTGCTAAACCAACAAAGGCTTTTTGGGATGTATGCTGATCATAGAAGGGCCCTAAACCGTTTCTGCCATTCGTATATTCTATAGATGCACACACACTCACAGGATGAGGACAGTGCAGTGCAACTGATTACTGGTCGGTGTATTAGATTACAGTAATTGAACGTCTGTGTTACAGGGACATCTAGTGGTAAGACTTGGGCTCTGCATTTTGTTCATATGAGAGCAGGAAAAAAATAATTAAAATTATATTAAATAAACTTTCTTGAATGGTTAAAGACTCTCTCATATCCCGTGTAATACCGCTCTTTATACCGTACAAACAGACCTCAAGCGCAGCATCGTACAAAAGAGTTGTGGTGTTTACAGAGATTGAGTTGATAAAGTTGATTCAAACTTGTGACGTGTGCGTGTTCCACGTTGGCCCGGACGTGGCAGTCGGCTGTGCTCCTGTGTGGAAATCACGGTGAAAAAGCGGATCAGAGATAAAGCACCACAGTCTACGTGTGTGTTCCTGTTGCGGCTTGTGTCACTTCTACTCTCGCAAAGTTAAACATCCACGGACAGTTATGGGGCTCACCATCTCGTCCATCTTCGGTCGGCTTTTTGGCAAAAAACAGATGAGGATTTTGATGGGTGAGTGCTAGCTTTAGATAGCGCTGTTAGCTAGTTGTTGATGAGCGTTCGTGGGAGAGCACTTCCCAGACTTCTAAAATTTGGGGGGAGAAAGAGGAGGAAAAGCACAAAGAAGAGACAATTATATTATAATAACTATTGTTGTTCTTAATATTTTGTTGTTTGAGAAAAGTAACAAATTTTTGTCGTCGTGGGTTTTTCATTTTTTATGTGTGTGGTTTAAAAGAAGTTCCGTAGTAAAGTATGTTAAAAAGCATAATTTTAAAAGAAATTACGTTAAAATACTAAAAGAAAAATCTTATTGAAATGTTATTGTCATTGGCAAATGGGCACTTGAAAGAATAACAGTGCGACGATTAAAGCTGTAAATGTTTTAACTAAAAATGCTAACATACGTTGTTTGACGTTGTTTAACTCGAGTAATTAAGCAATTATCTCCTGATGACGTTTATTTGCGCAAATGGCGTGACAGGGCACGATATTAGTCGACTTCTGGTGAGTGATGACTGGACTGGAGGAAGACGCTGTTACGCAATCTGTTCAATGTTCAGCACTGACTTGTATTCACTTTTAATATGAATGTTGACTTGTATTTAAACCACGTTGTTTCCCTGCAGTTGGATTGGATGCTGCGGGAAAAACGACCATCTTGTACAAACTGAAGCTGGGTGAAATTGTAACTACCATCCCAACCATCGGTGAGAGACTTTCCTTTAGTTTCCCTTTTACAACTTGAAGTTCAGTTATGGTTCTTTGATGGTTCTCTCCAGTGTTTAGCAGTGTTAAGAGCTTCTTCTTCTTCTGTAAAGGTTTTAATGTGGAGACGGTAGAATTTAAAAATATCAGTTTCACCGTGTGGGACGTGGGTGGCCAGGACAAGATCAGGCCTCTCTGGAGGCATTACTTCCAGAACACACAGGTATGTAATATGACCGTCATGCAGTTCTGTGACAACTTTGGATTAATAGCCTAAAGGTAATTTAGCTCAGTTCAAGCTTATCAAATCTCAATAAAAGTTACTTTAAAGTGCTTTATAGTGGAAGGTAAAGCTCACAGTGTTAGAGAGAAAACTCCTACAGTCAGGTAAGCCTCAAGAGGAGGCGCTAGGTAACAGCAGGAAGGAAAAACTCAGTCAGAAATACACTTGGTCAAGGCAGCCATCCAGTTGGAGGTGGAGTGAAAGAGAAAGTAAAAAGAAGTGTGTAAGTGAGACAGGCAGTACCGGAGGCAGTCTCCCAGCAGCCTGAGCCAATAGCAGCGCAATTAATGGATGCCCTAGGGTCATTTGATCAGTACTATCTGTAAGCTTTATCAAAAAGGACAGTTTTAAATCTAATTTCAGTAATGGAGAGGGTTTCTGTGTCTAAAATCCAATCTGGGAGCTGGTTCCACAGGAGAGGAGCTAAATAGCTGAAGGCTCTGCCTCCCACTTTACTTTAATTCCTTAATAGGAAGCCAATGAAGCCGATACGTGGGAAATATGAGCTCTCGTTCTTGTCCCTGTTAATACTTCTGTTAAAGCATTTTGTATTAGTTTGAGGCTTTTCAGGGAACATTTAGAAAAAACAGATTGGTTGGGTACCATGTTTCTGATTACATAATCTCATGTTTGGCATAACAATGTGTCATTGAGCAGTAGTAGCAGTTGGCAGCTAAGAAATCCAAAAGCAACAAAAAAACTAAATGATGGCAACGCAGCAATAATGTTTAAAGCAAATGGATTTGTCAAAATACATAATGACTGGTTTTATTTTATGTGTCTTATATTTATTGTAGTTTAAGTCATTGCAGTTTCACCAAAGCTGTATGAACATGTCTTTAGTTGTTATCTTGTGGCATGTTTGAGTTGATCTTAAAATCTACATACCAGTACACTGACCATATTTGCTTTTCATTAAATGACCAACATTAAATTCTAATGTAATCACTTCAACAACCTCTTTTGTTGTGCAGGGCCTCATCTTTGTAGTGGACAGCAATGACAGAGAAAGAGTGGCTGAATCAGCAGAAGAGCTGTCTAAGATGGTGAGTTCTTGGCTAAATAAGAAAAACAGTTTCATTCTGTGTCATTCTGTTACAGGGACTCAAAACATAAACCTAGTCTTTACAGGATGTACTTGATCCTTAAATATTTGTCTCTTTTTACTGTTAGATGACTGTCCTCCTTACTGTAGGAGTCTGTTTGTAGTTTGAAGTGCTGATTGATTTGGTCGTGCCTTGGAGAAACATGGATTTCTCATCATATTTTTACTTCTTCTGAGCCATATAGAAGCAAGTAGTATCTACTTTCTAGTGTTGCCTTACTGTTACTGGCATAGCCCATGAAAATAAAAGATGTGTGT